AGCATTAAAGCAACTCTGAATGCAACTTGAAGGTCTCCCTCGTTGTTTTAGTGAACTTTTGTGTGTCTACTGTTTTTATAGAATTCCTGGGAACTAAACAATGAATGTTTCCTCTTTAGCTAAAAGCATACTCATTTCATTTATAGAAAGAAACTAGATTATTTCTAGGTGAGTTTTGGCAGCTTTGTATTCCAAAAGATGAAATACTTTATAAACTTTGGGGAAAACATTTACATATATATTTTTAATAAAAATATTTCCAGTATCTTTCCAACAGTAAGCATTCTGGATAATTCTCAGTAAATTTTCTATAGACAAATTGAAGTATCCAATTCAACTAAAAATTGTGAAGACAGCTTGGAGACATAAAGGCTGAATGTAATAGATGTCTGTCAACTTCAATTAATTGTAGCCTTGAAAGTTCAAGGAGAACTAACTGTATGGTTTCAAAAGCATTTTTTTTTCTATTCCAACATGTAGTGGAGGGTTGATGGTACAAGTTTTTCTGAATTGCTTTCACAACAGAATAATTGGTTGTCTTCTAAGTAAACTTTCTTTATCCCACACTCTGTTGCAACACTCAAGTGTGAAACAGGTGCCCTGGCTACCTGTCTCCCTCTTCCCATATCCGAGACAGAGTGCAAGTGGGAGAGAAGAGGTCGTCAGAGAAAGAGATCCAGAAGCTATCATACCACTGTCTCTGTATATCCTTCCCCTGATACAAGTTTAAAATTTATCTTTTAAGGTTCAATGGAAAAAAATGTCCTACTTGTATATGAAGGGAAATTTAAATTTTTTAACTTATTGTTTTATTTATTTGAAAGATAAATGGGGAGGGGGGAAGGAAAGGGAGAGAGGGAGGAACACAGAGACAGAAATAGACAGATGTCATCTGCTGATTCACTCTCCAGAGGCCCACCACAACCTGGCCAAGAGCTAGAAACTCAGGGTCTCCCATGTAGATAGCAGGGACCCAACTACTTGAGTTGTGAGCTGCTGCCTCCCAAGGTGTGCATTAGCATTAAGCTAGAATCTGGAGCAGAGCAAGGACTCAAACGCATGCACTCCAATGTGAGATGTGGGTATCCCAAACAATGTTTTAACTGTTGTGCCAAATGCCCTCCCTAAAGGAGATTTTAAGCAACAATGTTAGGTAACTGTTAGGAGCTGAACTATATCACCTCCTTCCCAATTCATAAACCCCAGTACCTCAGAATATGAGTACAGCTGAATAGAAAATCTTTAGAAGAGTTATTTAGTAAAAATGAAGTCATCAGGATGGGTCCTAATCCAATATGACTTGTAGTCTTATAACAAGGAGGAGATTAGCATGTAAACGCACACACAGATAAGACAATATGAAAACACAAGGCAAAGGTAGCCATCTACATGACAAGGAAAGAGGGGTAAGAAGAAACCAACCCTGATAGCACCCTGATCTTCTACTTGTAGACTCTAGGACTAAGGAAAAATAAATATTTGTTGGTTAAAGTATTCCATCTGTGGTACTTAGTTGTGGCAGCTCTAGCAAATTAATAACAGCTACACCACACACACACACACACACACATTACTTTGGAGTCCATGGAGATAAGTTCTAGAAAAAGAAGGAGAGTGTCACTGATTCCACATTATTCCTGGGCCCTCTCCTTCCAAAAGTCAAAAGCTGCTATTTTGTCAAAACCGTTGGCCAAAGGGTTGTAGGCAGAGCAAAAGTTATACTGTCAAGTGTTACTGTGTGTCCTCCAGAAGTGACAAGCCCTCTCCTACTTAGTCTTCTCTCTACCTCACTTGCAGATGATGATGTAATAGATGTGGCTGCTATATTGCCTGGTTTAAAATTTTTGCTCTGCCACTATATAATGTAATTAAAAGCAAGCCACTTAACCTGTTTTATTCCCATTGGTAAAATGAGGTTAACAAGTGTTCCAAAGACTACAGGAGAGAGTGTGCAGATGGGGCATTGGGGCATATAACAGTTCGGGACACATAGTAAGTATTACATATTTGCCTTATAGATATTTTCATGATTGTAGGTTTCTTGGAGGAATATAATAAGGTACAACTTGTAAACCACAGCGCTTGCAGCATTACCAGCATAGCATACGTGAGAGCTGGATGCTGAACTGCTTATTTAAGAATATAAGGTTTGGAGTCACAGAAATCTGAATCTGGATTAGGTTTTGTCTGTGTTCCCTTCCTTCATCCTTCCCTACCCCGGAGTTTCTTCTTTCCAGAGTCTTTCCATCTCATTGGTAACTCCGTCCTTCCTGTTCCTCAGGCTAAATGTCTTGGTGTCACACTTAATTATTCTTTTTCTTAAAAGCCTCTTAAACAATTTTCCATCAAATCCTGTTGAATCTACCTTCAAAATGTACCTGGAAACTAACTACTTTCCTTTTTTTAAGATTTATTTGAAAGGCGGTATGTCAGACAGGCAGAAGAACAGGGAGAGGGAAAAAGAGGGAGAGGAAGAGGAAGAAAGGGAGGAAAAGAGAGAAAGAGAGAGAGAGAGAGGGAGATCTTCTATTTGTTGGTTTATTCCCAAATGGTTGTAACAGCTGGAGCTGGGCCAGGGTGAAGGTGGGAAGCTGGAACTCCATCTGAATCTCCCATATGGGTAGCACTTCTCTGCTTCTTTCTCAGAGGCAGTCGTAGGGAGTTGGACTGGAAGCAGAGGATCTGTGACATGAACTAGCACTCTAATATCTGAGCTTAACCTCCTGTGCCACAATGCTAGACCCCAACGAATTTTCATAAAAGGAACATCTTAAATAAATGCCATGCTTTGATATCTAATCCAACAATGTGGGAAAAAAGTGTATAGACATACTAGAAAGGGTTAAAAGTTAGGCAAAAAAGATAATTTTAGGACATTTAGAGGTCTTTAAAATGTCACATATGGGGGCCAGCATTGTGGCACAGAGTGTTAAGCCACTGCCTGGTATACCAGCATCCCATATTGGAGCTCTGGTTCCAGTACAGGCTGCTCCACTTCCAATCCAACTACCTGCTAATGTCCCTGAGAAAGCAGAAGAAGGTGGGCCAAGTGCTTTGGCCCTTGCCTCCTATGTGGGAGACTAGGATGGAGTTCCTGGCTTCCTAGAATCTTTGGCTTGGCCCAGCCCTGGCCATTGTAGTGATTTATGATATGAACCAGTGGATGGAAGATATCTGTGTGTGTGTGTGTATGTGTGTTTCCCTCTCTGAACTTTGCCTTTCAAATAAAATAAAAATAAATTTTTAAAAAGTCACATATAGGTTTGAATATTTTTGTGAATTTTCACACATTCTGGTACGTCAGTTTTTCCAGTGGATTTTGATGTTTGAATGTCAATATATATAAATGTTTTTTTTTTTTTTTGGTTCAATAGATATTTAGTTTTTTTCCCCAGGTACGTTCTTTTCTTGTTTTACATGAGCATACACACACACACACACACAAATATATATACTTGTAGGAGAATTTCACAAAGTTCATGGAAATTGAATTAAAGGAGAAGTTTTGTTGCAACAAAATTGAAATCCATGCAAAAAGTTCATAGAAGATGCATATTATGAGAAATACATATATATGTATATATATAAGTGTACATATATATATGTATATAAAATAAATTAGGCAAGAAATAGTGAAGTTTTCAAAGTTTTTTTATTTACCAAATTTTTAAACTCTCACTATGAAATTCTTACTTCCTTGGAATTCTTCTTCAAATATTGATGAGCACATTGTGTACTTCCCAAGGGAGTATCTATACTACTAATTAGATCTTCCATCACAGAGTGATAAGAACCAGATTTGATAGTTAGCCCAAGATGGAGATTCCACATTTATCAGTCCCAGGCCTACCAATCTGCTTTTCATTTCTGAAATGGAAAATACACTAAGTATCTTTGCATGTCTAATGAGATATATATGTGGAAAGGGCAAAGTAAACCTCATATTTGGAGTTCTCGCAGATCTTACTCTGTGCATCTCTCCCTTTTGCTGTTCTAATTTGTGCCATTTTGCTGTAATAAAACTGTAACCCTAAGTATATCACCTTCCTGGGTTCTATGAGTTATTCTGGTGAATTACACAGCCTGAGGATAAGAGTGTATGTAGTAACACAGGGAACACTGTAGCTGATGCCTGAAGTGAAGCTGTCCTGTAGTAACTGTACCCCCAACCCCTGAAGAATGGGGTAGTTTTTGTCTGAAGTTGTTGCAACTTCCTTCCCCTACCTTTATCTAAATAGTTAATAGTTTTAACATATAAGAAACTCTGGAATAAATATTGGTGATTTTTAGCATAGGGCATTTCTCCTTTATTCGAAGGAAATCATACTTCAGCAGTGACAGATTCATTCACACGATTCATTTTGTGAGACAAATGGATTGTCACCATCCGTTGAGAAGATACAAAATGAGGGAGATCCAATCATATCTAGAAAATCTGAGGACTTTTCTCTGACTCTTCAAATGAATATAGAATGAAAGTCTGATAAGAGGAGATTGCTACTCATAATCATTTCTATAGGAGACTGACAAAATAGATAGTAATGGGTCCACTGGGAAAACCCAAAATGTATAATGCATCAGTGAGTTTCCAAAATGTCTTTGAATTGACTTTTTGAATAAATCTAAAACTTACCTCATTAACATAAAGAAGCCACTGGTGCTCATTCATAAACAATGGTAAAATAAACTTGAACACATAATTCTTTTAAATCTGGAAGATATTCTTAGATATCTGATTAACTGTAGCTTTGAGAGACTTAAAGAATTATATATTATTAATATCTTCTTTAGGATTATTATAACTACAACCAGGAAAAATAATCCCACTTATTCTGCACTCAATTTTGTTGTTGAATCAGTTCTTAAAAGAAGGGGGAACATTTCAAACTTTCTGCTACTTGTGTGGGAATGTCAGTGATTTCTAAATGTCACTATTTTGTCTACATTACTTTATACTCTGTTAAACAATCAAAATGTTCATAGACCTTTTGTTTTTGCAGTTAATTCTAGACCATAAATTCCAAGTGACAGAGCCATGGCATAGATAATCTAAGTGAATATTTGAAGTGTCTCAGTTCTGGATGGAGTTGAGTTTGAAGAGATATAGTTCAACCAGTTCTGGATGAAGTGGGTTTGAAGAGGTAGAGTTCAACAGCCAAAGGTAACTTTTAAAGTATTTAGTTTCTTACTAGCAATTAAGAAAGATCCATTTCAAAACCATTACCAGCACTTTTCAACCACAATCCTTCCATTTTCAGTATCCTTCTACCCAGAAGAACCTCCAAGTTTTATACATGTGAAGACTCCAATGAGTCCTCGGCTCCCAGCCCAGGGAGTCTTTCTCTCCCTCTGCTCTGGCCCCAAAACCCTCTTCTTCACAACGAACAGCAATCTGACCTCCTAAATTCTTAGTAAAATTCTTTCCCTTCTGGGGAGGAGGTGATCAGGAGGGAAGAGAATCTCAATTCAACTTTTCTGAATGCTCTTTTTCAAACTGCTGTGGTAGGAGTAGCCCTCAATCAACCGTAGTGTTTTTTTCCACCTTCTTCGTATTTTGTCGTGGTGTAGGGACAGAGTTTATCCTATCTGTTCTAAGATATTTGTTCTCATTGAAAAGTGTATATGAAGCAAGATAAAAAGAAGATGATTGTACTCAGTCCCTTTTACTTTTATTGTGGTATATTAATGTTTGTCTTCACTCCTAAGACACTCATCTTTTTCCTGTTTCCCTGTCATTCATTTTCAGAATTTACAATTACATCCTAATTCTTTATATATAAATGTTTTTCACAAAAATTGTATCATGACTCTCCATATACAAGTAATCAGACCTTACTATATCATAGCAAAAAAAAAATTACAAATGTAGTCTACTCAGTTTTATCTGTTAAGAAGAGGGTACAAAAGCTATTTAACCAAAGGTTGCTTTTAAATATCAACTAGACATAACAAAAAACTAGCATGAGTGGAGGAAACTTAAAATGATAAACACTCATTGGTAAACATCATTTTTGTTATTTACAATTGTGTTTAAATTCTACAGAAACATGAGTATTAGAAAATGATGAGAAAATGAGTTTCTGAAAGTTAAGTTAAATGATAACAATGAAACATCTGACTATAATAATATTTTTGGGGGGCCAGTGCCGTGGCTCACTTGGCTAGTCCTCTGCCTGCAGCGCTGGCATCCCATGTGGGCCCTGGTTTTGGTCCTTGTTGCTCCTCTTCCAGTCCAGCTCTCTGCTATGGCCCCGGAGGGCAGTGGAGGATGGCCCAGATGCTTGGGCCCTGCGCCTGTGTGGGAGACCAGGAGCGGGCACTTCACTCCTGGCGTCAGATCTGTGCAGCACGCTGGCCATAGTGGCCATTTTGGGGGTGAACCAATGGAAAAGGAGGACCTTTCTCTGTCTCTCTCTCTCACTGTCTATAATTCTCTCAAATAAAAAATAAATAAGATCTTAAAAAAAAGTGTATATGAAGATATCTAACATCTAAATCAAATTATAAATAAGAAACACTCAGTTCAGCCAACAAATCATTGGTCTAATGATTAACACACCTAAAAAAAGAATTCCATATTTAAGAAGGTTGGTGTGACACATTTAACTCATCCATAGCTCACCATCACTGAGATGGGGCTGGCTCAAGGAGTGTCATATTGTCAGGCATGCTCCTGACGTTATTATTTCCACACAGATATTGAGATGAGCACCTAGATGGCCAGCTGATCAGCTCCCCTGGTGTTCGCTTTTGTTTAATTATTTTGTGTTATGAAATTATTAAATGAGAACACTTTGACAAGAAAATGTCCTTCAGAATGAAGGTGCATGCCTCAGGTTTGCCTTTTTGAATAAGCATCATGGCATTTTACTAAGGTAGGGAAGAAGGATGGCTCATTCGTAAATGCTTTTCCAGGAGTAGGCATTTGGTGCCTGCTTGTGATGACTGCATCAGAGTACCTGGGTTTAAGTTCCAGCTTCCTGGAAGCAGACGGTGATGGTTCAAGTACTTTGATCCCTGTAACCAATATGGGAGACCTGGATTGAGTTCCTGGCTGCTGACTTCAGCCTCACCCAGCTTGTGCTGCTGTGGACTTTGGTGGGAATGAACTAGCAGATGGAAGATCTCTCTCTGTCTCTCTACCTTGCAAACAAAAGCTAACAAATAAACAAAAATTTGAAGAATCAAAAACTGTTCAACTGGCATGATTTCTTTAGTTAGAATAGGTGGAATCGCTTTTCAATTTCATTGGAATGCTGATTGATTCAATTATTGTTAGTTTTTGCTGTGTTTTTCTCCCATTCAAGTAAACCACCTTTTCACCCATTGTTAGCACATTCTGTATTTTCTCCCAAGGAGGTAGAACATTTTACTCTTTTATATTTCTACTTGATCTCCCTACCATTATTGTTTTAATAACCTTAACTAAATTCCAATTCCATGAAGATTTTACTTAGAAGATGTCTATTTTATATCCACTAACATTAGAATGTTGGTAATTATGTGGTTCATTACAAAGAAGACATTCTTTGTTTGATTGCTGCACACTGATTGTTGTTTGTTTTTATATTTGGTGCACTTAAAGAGAACTTTATTATCCTTGAGTCTCACTCACCTAATGAATTAGCATGTAGTTTGTTTACTAAGTATTGCTAGTGTCTTCTATAAATGCAGTCATTAGAATGTATTTGGTGCTACTTAATTGGGTGGAAATTGTACTCCTGGTTATTTTACAGTCTAAAGATTACATTCTAATGTAACTTGTAATATCGTTTTTTCTGTTTTGCCCTTTTTTCTTAGTGGGTGGAAATATCAGATATAAGCTATTCTACCTTGAGGGGGAAAAAAAAGCTGTTCTAGATCTATGAGATAGCTGGTAAATGAACTGATCAAAGTTTAGGGAAATCAAAAATATACTTATCATACAATAGTGAAGTAACACCTTGACAGTAGGGACTCCATTTTAGAGTACCTGAGCCTCCTTCTTGAGAAAACACCTCCCGCTCTGAGACTCTGGTCTGAAACTATGATCTAACAGTACACTGCATCCCACTTGGCAAAACACAGAAACTCCCTAGCCTATTTGCTCAAGCTTAAAACAGATAGGCTGCACCTGGATTAAGATTGTTAAAACTGTAATTTTTCTATTGTCAAGATTGTAATTGATATTAGTTGCCCACAGGCCTTAGGTCAGCTTGACCCTAGTATCCATGTATTACCCCTGATCCTAGCAACCATGTATTCCGCCTCCCACCCTTGTGGTTTTTGCCTTTATAAACCTTGTGGCTTTGGGCTTGGGCATCGAGAGTTCTTTAGGGCATGAGTCCGCTCTCCACTGCCAGCAATAGAGGACTGTCAAATTTTATGAATGTGTGGTGCTCCTCCGTTTGCACTCAGACACAGCACTAGGGCTGAGTAACAGAAGGGGTTTCAAGGTCTAGGTTATGGGACTGTATTGTCCCAGAACATAGAAAAGGCCTTTCATGTGATATTCACAAAACCAGTACAGAACTTTGGCTGCTGTATTGTACATAGATAATTGGTGTTTGAAAGGATAACCTTGAAGTAGTTTGAATGCTCCAGAAAGTAGCAAAGAAAGTTTCGATTATTTTTCATGAAATTTTAAGGTGTTTTGTTCTATTATGTTGCAATTCTTGGAATTATATGTTGTTTTTATATACACATGTAATACCAAATATGGTATATATTGTTCTTGAATAATGATGACTATGTTTCAGTCATTTGGGACAGATTAGTTTGCTATAATGAATATGTCTATAATCTAAAGGAATCTATAATCAATCTAGGTTCTACCAAATTTTGCACTATAGTAGGTGTCATGTAGAGTGAGTTCTGCTTTATTATACATTCATGCTTCCACAACTGTAGTAATTAGTCATTACTGTTACTATGTATTTTAAGTTCTGATTAATATTAACTAAGCTCATTAAAATAGTAGGATACTCATTGACTTTGCATTAATTGGTTCTTAGAATAGAAATTTCCCAAAGCAGCAATATATGTCCATTTACATTGTGTTCCTTGTTCTTAACCATGTGTGATTAATCTCTGACCCTTTCTGATGACTAACTTGTATTGTGAGCATTGATTTAATTAACTCATAATGTGCAGTCCTAAGCAGCTAAAATATGAACTTTTCTTCTGTATTCAGTGTGTTTGCAACTTTCTTCATAGAAGAAACTTTCTTCTTTTGAAGAAGACTTTCTTCTTTTGGAGTGATAAGATGAGATCATATATATTTGTATATGTGTGAGTTTGTTTAGATACCTGTATGTATTTTGGGGAGTGATGAGGTCTCAGTATGACAACTGGCTGCTTTAAAAATATTCTTTCCATTATGTAACTAACCTAAAGCACAAGCACAGTTTCAGTGATTGAATACACAAATGATAAAATAATGTGCCACTTAAGTGAATAACAGTGGCTTTCTTATGGGGAAGTGACACGTAAACCAGACCTAGGCAACAAAAAGTTAATTCACTCAACAGTGTCACCCTGAGTGGCAAAAAGGAATTTTGTGCTGATCTTATTAGACAAATAAAAACTTTAATAAGGGAAAAAATTATCTGTTATATTTTGCAACACCAAACTTGTATGCACACACACACACACACACACACCCTTACCAGAAAAAAAAAAAAGTAAAGAAAAAAGTAATGTTATCTATTTATTTTTATAGTGAAAACTATGAAGGCTCAAAGTAATAGGATTATCATGTAATAGGCCTAAGAACAAGTACTCAGTAAACGCTTGTTGGATGAATGTGCACACCTGTGGCCCCAGGTTGTTCAGCCATAACTGGGGTTGTCTGGAAGATAATAAACTCGCATATTCTAGACTTTCTTATGGTTTCTAAGGGAGGTAGTTTTTATTGCATTTAATTGAAGTAATCTACATATTACTCCCTTATAGCTTTAGGATCTACAGTAAGCCCATTTGACTTTGAACTGAGAAAAGGATTATCCCAAGTGAATTTAAAGTGTGCCTTTTGTCATATGAGGGGAGCTGAATAAATATACCTTCTCAAGTCTGTTTGATGTCCCTAAGAGGCACCCAAGACCATGAATGTGCTTCAGTAAGCAGGCAGGGTTTTCAGAGACTGTGCTCCTACTCACACAACTCCAGCATAGGTGTGAATTCCATGTCGAGGGGAGGTGTCCACTGTAACCCATCCAGTCTGCTTTGGTTGAAGTGCCCAGTATAGTAAAATGGTTGTCATCATGCAAACTAAATTACAAGGAGTTTTCTGGCCAGTGCATGTAAAGAAGATATTATTTTCATTTGGAGACTTCATAAGAATGTGGAATCATTGGATGAATGCAGGATTCCAATATTCTTAGCCCTTGTGGACAAATAAAGTTCTATTTTTACTTTAACCATCATCACGTGCAATAACATATTTATGGCAATATTTAACTCTTTGAGGAGCACTAAATACTCGATAGAATCATTACTATGCCATGTCTGATAACTATTGTTATCCTTGTCCATATAATATGTCAGACACTATGATGAGTGTTTTACACAGAATACCTTATTTAACATAAGGAACAACCTTATGAGAGAACAACCTTATGAGAGAAACATTATTTTTCCTATTATTCATTATTATTTCCATTATTTTTCCAATATTTTCCTATTTCCATTGTTTTTCTTATAAACATTATTTTTCCCTAAGGCTTACAGAGATAATTACCAAGATTTCTGCCTATCACTGAGAGCCCAATTTATCCAGTTTCTCAAACCAGAAATCTGACACCGTCTTTTCCTCATCATGTAACCGATTCATCATCAAGTCCTAATGATTTGTATTCCAGTAGGTTTCTTGACTTTATCTTCTGCGCTTCAACTTTGTTTGATCATCATGATCTTATACCTGCGTTTTTAGGACAGACCCGTGCTGGGTCTCCTCTGCTCAATGCTTGCCCCTTTCCAATTCATTTCTCACCAATAGCAAAGTAAAGTAAATTTCAAAAGTAAATGGAATTGCAACAATACTTTGCTTAAAATCTTCCTGTGCCTTCCCAAAACCGTAAAATCAAATCCACACTCAGGACCAGCTCTTGCATCATGTGGCCCTGTTTATCTCCACTTCAGCTTTGCTACATTTCATCTTGGAATTGCACTGGTCACCTTCAGGTCTCTGTGCCACACACAGTCTCACCTCAGGGTTTCAGAATAAATTCTCACTTCTAAATGGAATATGCTCCCCACTTGCCACATGGCCTTCCACAGAGACCTGCTTTGCCTATGCATAAGCACATTCTTCATGAATTTTTGAAGAGCCTGTGTAAGCATAAATTTCAGTAACCTTTTGAAGTACATATATTTTACATGTTTATACACATTTACATGTATATATAACTAATATACCTATTTTAACTATTCATTATTATTTGTGATGGTTTGTTCTGTAAAGTTTTTTTGAACACTAAGTTAGCACATATTAGCCATTGCTCTTACAGAAATTACAGTTAGGTTTCTTGTGAGCCCTTTGGTTATATTTTCATTAATTAATCAACATCTAAACTTACCATTTTCTTTCTTTTTTTATATAGGATTTTCCTTGTTTTATTCTATATTATAAACATTTAAAATGTTTCTGCATTCTCCATAAATGTATTGCATTTAGTATTACATTTGGTATTAATACATGTAATATTAATCATTATTACATTTAATGATTACCTGTTCTAATGAATTGATGTCCCGTGGCTTATTATTCTCCTATCTTTCAAAATTTTGGTTATATCAAATTTTCTGTAACTTAGATAATGCTGCAAAGCATGTCTTCACATGTGGGCATTTGTTCTGGTGTTATGTGACACCATGCAGTGCCTGTGTCCAGTTGTATTTTTAGGGTGTTTTCATACATATTGGCAGACACTGTCATGAGATATAAAGCCACCTTTGCAAGTCTGCAAGTATGTCTGTGAACAACATGCTGAATTTGCGTTTCTTTCAGAATGGTCTTTCTCATTACACATATATACAGATAAATAGAGTGTGATTTAAGAGTCAGTGACTTCTTTCCTGGATTACCAGTGAGTACAAGTATTTTTCAGGTGTTTCTTCTTTTTATTTTCTTCTGTATGAAATACTTTTCCCTAGCCTTCACCCTCTTAATCAGCTGGGATTTTATTATTCACCTTATGAGTGTAAATGATTCCTAGCTCTGCTATGACAAGCAAGCATTCTGATTCACCCAGGACTGGTGTGGTAAGGTTGAAATTTTTAATTGAGAAATTGGAAAAAATCCTAACATGCACTTGTGCCTTGAACTAGCCCTCCCTGGAAGGCTGTTCTATCCGTTCATCCTGTGGCAGATTCCTAGGAGCCTCCCCCTGGGTTCTGGGTCAGTGTCACTTCCTCAGCGACGTCTTGTCCCTAGGTAACCCAGAGCCCTCTATCTGTGTCTACCGCTCTCCTAGGATGCTCATTTTGTTTTCCTTGCTGCACCTTTCAATATCTGAATTCCTGTTTATTTATTTTAGTGGTTTGCTTTCCTCCTCTGGAATATAAGCCACATGGAACAGAGGCATGTCTCTCAATCATTTCTTTCTTTTTCTTTCTTGAGATCACTTAAGATCTACTCTCAGTGGGTTTCAAATATGTGTTATAGCACTTTTAAGATTTCTTTATTTATTTGAAAACCAGAGTTACAGAAAGAGGGATAGACAGAAATCTTCCATCCACTGGTTTATTCCCCAGATGACTGCAATGGCAGGGCTTGGCCAAGTCAAAGCCAGGAGCCAGGAGCTGCATCTGGGTCTCCCATGTAAGTGGAAGGGGCCCAAATAGTTGAACCATCTTCCACTGCTTTTCTCAGGCCATTATCAGGGCACTGGATGGAAAGTGGAGCAACTGGGACTCAAATCAGCACCCATATGGAATGCTGACATTGCAGACAGTGGCTTTACCTGCTACACTACAACACCATCCCCAGGGTATTATAGTACTTTAAGCTATAGTCACCAAGCTTTACATTAATCTCTAAAAATTTTTTCACGTTGCACACCTGAAACTGTACCCTTTGACCAACATCTCCCCCATCAACCCCCTCCTATTATATGAAGATAAAGCAAAAAAAAAATTCCACATGACATCATTATATCTATGTTTCAATATAAAGACAGTCTGTTTGAAACTGTTGATTAATTAATATTGAACTCACAGCCAACGGCACTGTAACTCAGGCCTGAACAAAGATTATCTTAGTGTGTGTACTTTTCTGTAAGAAACATCACAGCCTGTGCTTAGAGAACAGTGGACTGCACTTCAACACTATGCTTTGGGCCATTTTAAGCATCCAAATCATCAATAAAACACAAAAATTTCAAAGAATATGCATGGAATGAACTGTCAGAAGGACTCTTGTTTATGGTATCAGAGCTGAAACAGGACACCAGAGCATCACCTTGTTTGACTTCAGCTAAGAATTGCCCATTGGACAATTCAAAATTCCTGCTACTCTGTGCATGTCTGCAAATGACTGCAAAAGTGTGACAAGTACTGACTTACTGATCTTTGGAGTTACGAATAAATTTTAGGGATTCAGTGAATTGATAATTAAGGAGTCTGTGAATAATGAGGGTTTTCTGTGTGTGCACACTATATTTTCAATAATTGCCATCTTTAAAAGTAATAGAAAAATCTGAAAATGAATTTATATTCATGAAAAGTTTCTCACATTTTCCTTATTTTTCTCAGGTAACAATGAATGCATAATGCTTCATCTGGTAAGGGTAGAGGGAAGCATTGCTTAGTGTGAGACTAGTTAGCAGCTCATTCTCCCACAAGATTTTTTCAAGTGTAACGAAAACTCATTTTAGTAATACTCACAGTAAATGTTGATATAATATGTAGTGATTTTAAGATATTATTGTATTCTGAAAGGATAAGAAAAAAACCACTGACCTGGGATTTGCCTCTGACGTGGAAATGACCATATCTCTTGACCATGTGAATGCTCTGGTTAGACTATGTTTTGTTATGTCTTAACCACAGTATAGATGTTTTCTTTTTTCTTGTTACAATTTTTCTATCTTTTACAAAAGAAATACATGAACACTATAGAGAACTTAACACTTACAGGTAAACAAAAGCAAAATTTGCGTAAATAAATGTTACCCCTTTCTAGCAAGCAGGAGTAGCCATTGTTTTAATGTTACTCATTTAAGAGAGAGAGAGAGAGAGAGAGAGAAGCATACTCCTGTCTTCTGGTTCACTCCAAAATGCCTGGGAAACTGGGTACTCAGTCTGGTCTTCTGTGTTGGTTGCAGGAACCCAATTACGTGAAATATCATTCTTGCCTCCCAGATTCTTCTTTAAGATGGAACTAAATTCAAGAGCCGGAACCAGAAATTGAACCTAGGCACTGTTGTAAGAGACTCAGGCATCTTAACCAGGGTCTTCACTGCTAAGCTTAATGTCCCCTTTCGCTGCTAATTTTTACGTTCACTTCTCTCTAGTCTTTGCCCTGAGGCTACACATGCTGGTTTGTGTATCCCCTACTTTTAATTAAAAGTCATTTAAGTCTGTATTGGACTTGACTTTTCTAGCACTTTCTCTTTTGTCCTAGGTAGTTATTTCAGGCTAACACATAGACCTCTCTTTTCCAAGGAGTCAGAAGCAGGAACATGCTCCTTTCTTTAATCCTCCATTGTAGAATGACACTCTAATTCTCTTCTGGACTGACCTTACTGACTTACTGTGTTACAACCTTGGGTCCCTAACACAGCCAAGAGTCTGGATTACCATTTCAAGTGAACCTCTGAAAAAATAAAAGTACCCTATTTAAAAATAAAAGTACTCTGTTTAGGAGGACAATGGTAAATGGTTTTCCTCTGAGCCTGAGGTATGACAGTCAATTTATTTCTCAAACTTGTATTTGTTTTTAGTTCACTTCATGTGGTTACGGATCTGGAGACACAGCTTCTGTCCATACTCTGAACATCTGGGAAAGGGACTAGCAAACCACTGTGCAGCCAGTTCCTTCAAGGGATCCATCACCAACAAGCTACCATCAGAAGAATTTCAAGAATAGTGAGTCAAATATTATTCATTTCCTGATGAAGACCATCTCTATATACTTTCAGATCTCAGAATATAAAATTCATCTAGAGCAAACATATAATACTCATGGTATTTTGTGTATATAAATACATATATTTCCTCTTGAGAATGGATGAGGAAAGCAAGTGTCCAATTTTATATTCCACTAGGCTGTGCCTTCAGCCTAATCTAGTAACAATTTTATAAGAATCAATTACTGAGCCAGAATTAGATTGTTACGCGATTTGATGATATTAGATTCAGGTAAGTCTCATTTTGGTATCTAATGAGGATGTAACACATGGAAATGCATTCTTCAAGTCTGCTGGAGGTATTGATTACCATCAGGAATGCACTTAAACCTATTCATGAGTTTCTTGTCAAATCAGTGCTCTGGCAGTACACATGATTAAAAAAAAAAAAACAAATAATGATTGATTAGCAAGTATTACATTTAAATATAGAGGGTCTTCCCGGAAAGCCATTCTGTTAAACTGTGTGGACGTGCTGCTTTGATAAAACAGTACATCAGTGTGCTCCTCATCATGATATCTCATTCATATTTAACACGTAGAGGTCTGTTAATACTGTGCTGCTTACCACTGTGAGCTCCAGTGACTGGATTTATTTATGCTTCATTTACTTTTACTCTGACAAGGGCAATTCATCATCTTAAAGAGATGGGGTGGGGGTAAGACTCCTGTTGGTAGTCTCTAATGATACTGCACATCTTTAAATTTTATACATTTTTCCAAACATTATTTCATTTAGTAAACTTGAAAATCACATAGAGTAGGAGATGCGGATACCATTTTGATCACTTTACATAACGAAAATTAATGTTTAGAGTATTAAATGACCTAAGCTATCATAGCTAGTAAGTTTAAATCAAGAGCTTATTATTTCTATATTATTGTGTTCTCTCTGTATTATATTTTATCTTTTTATTTTTAAGAGACTAAGAAAAAGTTAAATGATGAGAAAACCTAAAATTTCACCAAAAGGGCTAATCTTTTATATTCCTGAGGGTAAAATAATTATTATGGAAGATATCATGGAATGTACTGCTTAAAGTGAAACGCTAACCTAAACGAAACACTAAATGCTTACATGTATTATTATAATAAAAGCAAGAATATCATTATTGAATGACCTTCACTAAAATAATTGTAAATTCAGTTAATTATTAACAGAGAGAGTGTTAACAGAGAGGCAATGGAGAGAGAAATAGGTAAAATAAAGGTTACATTAGCAGCTTTCAATCTCTGTTTTGGACACTGATTATATGAAGGGATGTTATTTGATTCTGAACAAAAATTTTACAACAAATTTCATTTCAGTTTGCTGTAATTCTTCCAAGTGTCCTATACACCTGTAATATTGCACATCTATACTGAATGTTTCAAACTCAAACTAGTGATACATTTTTTTACCACTCCAGTTAGTTTAAGGGGGCAAAACTAGACATTTTAATTTGATTCATGGACATTTACATCTGTATTCCACAAATGGAATTCTTAGATTGTTGAAAAAAATGTGTAACCCATCCTAAAGAATAATTTTGGAAGACCTCCTTGCTACTTGAAGATGCAAATTATTCCTTTCCTGTCATAATCCTCCCTAGAGAGCCATCTTCCAATCCCCACTGCCTTGACTGCACCCTATGACCTTTTATCTACCCAGGGTAATAGCTAATTAAAACTGACCCAAGAGAATTCAATTAAAATTATGAATGATACGGATTCTAACTCAATGCGATGTGGTGGCTTGAAAGGTACATTATGCAATGCTGAGGAAATTGTTTTCGTTTTTTAATGTGTAAACACTGTACCAGAGTTGCTGAACAGCAGTGACAAGAATGAGAAGAAAGGCAGGATGAAATTTTGCTTTGACCAGAGACATGAACAAAGAGGAATTCTCAGCTTCCCAGTTCAGTTTCCCTGCTTGAACTCCTTGCCCTTGTGTTCTCTTTGATTCACTAAACTCTCCTTTCATTACTTGGAGAAGAAATGTGTAAGCCTGTTTAAATGAGCCTCTATTTGTTTCATTGAATAGCTGATTGTGGAATTAAAATTGACCCAAAAGTAGGAGCTGGGACAGGTGTTGTGGTGAAGTCACCACTTGGGATGCCCACATCCCACATTTGAGTGCCTGGGTTTGAGTGCCCCCTCTACTTCTGATCTAGCTTCCTGCCAATGTACGTAGGGGGCAGTAGATTATGGTTTTCTTGGCTCCTGATTCTGGCCTGGCCCAGCCTGTCTTTTGCAAACATTTGGGAAGTGATTTAGCAGATGGACGAACTCTTGGTCTGTGTCTCTCCCTCTTTGGTACTATGCCTTTAAAATAATAAATAAATAAATAAAACTAAGGAAATAAACTTTAAAAAAAAAGTAATAGCAGCTCTGTGATGAGGGGAATCTAGTGCCTGCACAGCCCCAGCCTGGGTTTCCATAGAATCTGATTGAGAGTTACCCATCCATACCAGAAAATCACATGTTCATTTAGATATCCTTTCAGACAGGCTTGAACAGTGCTGGTGTGTGTGTTAGTCTCTCTTAATTGTAAAACTACAGAATTTTCTACTTGGAAGGGAGCCTTACCATCAAGTCTAGACTTTGTTTTGTGAATTAGAGAACCCAGAAGCAGAGAGGTTAATTTTTCCTTCTTCAAAGGCTTGCGAAATTTCTGGCTCAGAACACTTCACTTGGCCTCTCTCCACAGGACCAGTCTATTGATAGAAAGGTCTTTTGAATTTTCCTTCTCTGTAAAGGGTTAAAATGTTCTGCTGCCCAAACAGCATCCAGCTGACTTCATGTGTCCAGTTAAAATCTGTTCAGTTACATATGACAAAATGCTAGAGATAAGAATGACTCAAACTTGTAAGAATATATTTTATCCCATGTGAAATAAATCTGGAGACGTGAAATCCAGGGATAAGGCCTTGGCTGCGTCGTTGTCAGGGACCCATCCTCCATGTCTATTTCTGTTCTTCTGTTCTTAGAATCTGACTTCCACTTACAACATCTTCATGACAGTCATATGTAGTGTTTGGAACTCCATCCATCAATCTGAATTCCAGGAAGAACAATGTGGGGAAGGTGAAGGGGTAAAGTGGCATACCCCATATAGCTGTCTTCCTTACCTATTGCTTTTGTTTGCGTATCACTGTTCATAACACAGTTAAATGACCACTTAAATACAAGGGAGTTACCACCTTCAATAAAACTGGAGGTCTCCTATTAATAAAGAAAGGGTAAATGGATGTTGGGATGACATCAAAAGGTGTGTGCCATATTTTCTATAAATTTGTACCAATTCTTTCTCAAAGGCTATCTTTAATGGGTGTCTTAGCATAATCTCATCGTTAGATGAAATTCCAAACTGTAAAGGCCAAAGAGATCCTTCAAAAATCGTCTCCTCTTCCCGTTACAGCTTCCCTCTCCACACTGTGTATCTGAATCCGTGCCTGGTTCTGATATCTGCTGACCATGAGCTCAATCCTTTTGTCCTCTCTTGTCAGATATCTTGTTGCAGTACATATTGACATCAGCAATACTAAAATATATACCCCAGATATGCTGTCCTGGTGGTTAAAATGATTTAGCATCTGATTTTAGAATCCTCAGTAGGAGAAAAACTACTAATAAGTCAGAATAAGGTGGTCTCTACACTCTTTGGAAGATTGTCTGCAAATGATGATGATGATGATGATAATAATAATAATAGTAATCATAAAACTCCTGGGATTTAATGATTAAGTGAATTAAAAGATGTGCAAAGTACCTGGGACACTGTTCTGGGAAAACACGAGTGCCCTATGATTGTTTGTTATTAATATTCATTATTATTGTTATAATTGTTATCACCATATGGCTTTTTTTCCTAGTGAGAAATATTTAGTGAGCAGCTAAGAAAAAGATGTTCTTGTCTTGGAACCAAAATTACTCCCAGGAGAATCACTAATGGGTTTAAATGACAAAGCAGAAGGATGATGTTGAGGGAGCTACGAGAGTACATCGTTGATCTAGTTGCTTAGTTGGTAGTGAAGTCCTTACAGCGTGAGTGCTGGTAGCTGTGCTTCTGTAAGAGAAGTTTCTGATTCCCAGGGGTCTTCTGAGCCAAGGATAGTGATTAGGTGGTGGGGAGGCTGCTCAGAGGAGAGCCAGAACACTAAGCAAGGAGGGGGGCATGCTCAACTGCCTTCTTCACAAGTTTGCGTAGCTCCACTCCTGGTAGATTGGATATCAGATGTCCCTGGATGAAGGTTTTGCCCAGCTGCCTGGGTTTCCTAACCACATTTCAATAATCCATATATATTTTTGTGAGCTGCATGCAAATTTAATGTTGTTCTAAATTAAGTAGGGAAGAGAATAAGAATGTGTTAATTTTATGCAACAGTGAACCAAGGGTAAAAACTAACATCTAACTATATTCTTTGAAGCATCTTATAGCTTGTAAAAAAAAAAACTAACAGGGAACTAAGAAAATGATGAAATTGCATAGTACCTGAAAAATCTGGGGCACTGTGAGGTTGGAACTGTGCTTTGAACACTGTTAACTTGGATGTTATTGAGAGGCTGATGTGCCCTCGATAGTGATTATAATTAGAGCCTGATTTGGGAGTCTTTTCATCCCTGATATGATTCTAAGTGTGTGTGAAAATGTTCTGAGGACTGACATTTGGAAAGAATCATCGTGACTTTCTATGTTCTGAGTAAATCACTTCCAATGAGCAGTGAGAATTAGAGGCAAGGACAAGGGTAAATGGTTTAAGGGAACAGAGGATCCTAGGTAAAAAAGAATCATATAGTTCTATCAGAAGGGTTCATACTGATATGCTACAAAGGCACATTCACCTGGAAATCACTTTTGCAACAGGTCTAGGAGAGAGGAATTGTAAAATTTAACATGGCCTAAAATTCACGTTAGATACCTCTTTGGATTTTCAGTATTGATAGATTGCTTGAAAGTGTACAGAAGTAGACCTTTGA